TTTCGTAGAACTGATCTCGAATCTTTTACAAATTCATCAACGAGGACTATAAACGATTTTGTCGTACAACTTATGAGCGGTAGTGTACGTCGAGTCGATTCCGATCGCGTGTGCGTCCCCGTTCGCACGACACAAGAAACATCGAGTTAATAATCTGGGGAACGTGCCCTGGAAGCGATTGAACCGATTTCAGGGCCATTGCTCTTTTCGATGGTCGCGTAATTCCTTTTCTGCAGTGGAAAGTGATTTAGCTGCACGGCCGTCCGCGCAGCCCGACCATGGATATAAATTCGCTGGACATATTCCCGACAAGCATCGGAGGGATCGCTTCCTGTTTCCTGCGCTCCTTGGGATAAGTGGAACGGAGATATCGATGGTAGGAAGGAGCAGCCGGCGTCAAATCTATTTCGTTCGGTCACACCGCAACCTATTGACCCTCTCCCATCGGCCCTCGCGAATTACGTATTTATCCACTGATACGAATGGCCACCGCGTCGGATAAATTGCGAGACTCGGTTCCATTGAAGCAAAGCCATCGTCTTTATCGCGTACGAATGAAGTCCTTTCACTCGGACTTTTTTTTAGAAAAGGAGAACATTTTGGGAACTATTGTTAGGATTCGCGTAAACAGACAAATGGAATTCCATTGTCTTAGTTTCGTTCATTCTTATTGTCTGCCACTCCATTCCTCTCGACGGAAAAATCGATGTGCAATGCTCTTTAATGGAAGTGATATTTATAGAAAAATGTATGAATAGAACGATGTAACTAAATCAAATCGGTTTTCAATACCGGGAATTGCGTACAAATTTTTCCAACGTAAATAAAGAAAAAGATATTACGAATCATTTTGCCTTCGCGTTTTAACTTTTTCTGTCTCCGATGATCAACGGAAACTTTTGATCCGGCAATTGTTTCGACGATCTCCGAGGTAAAATGATCAGGATTATGATAAATACTCGGGTAAATGCAGATACGGCTTAACGCGGCCGGATGGAGATGCGTTATCAGTGCCCTTTCACGCTGATATCCCCTGACTAGCCGACGCAAAAGCGCTCTGTCACGTTTAATGGAAAGTTCAGTTTCGCTCTTGTCTACTGATACCCGAAGGATACGATAATTTTACGGGTCATTTGCATAATGCCGTGGTCCAGTCACGTGAATCACTTTGATAAGCCCAATAGCAATAGTTTACGCCCTATCCGTTCGTCTGTTTCACTATACCGCGTCCTCATCTCTATTGCTCACTTCCATCCAGCCCAATAATCTATCAAAGCTCTGACCGTCTGCACTTTTCAGTTTGTAGTGGACCTCGTTAAAATGAAACCTGATTTTACTCTCGCATTGATACGAACAAATTATATTATATGAACGCCCAATTGCAGTTTGTTTCATTAATATCCTAATGATTTGTGTAAATTTAATACCGTGTGTAAAATTACATTTATAATGATGGACGATGTCTGTCAAAATTCGTTTCCAACGTATCCAGTACGAGGCTCGTATCGAGCATAGGACTTTGGGTATTAATTGATGATCAGAAACAGTGACAAAACATCGTGAATTCGTGCTTCGACGGTGCCATTCTCCTCGTTCACCGCTCGTCGATGGTACAATATAAATGTACCTTATCGCGTTGCACGGAATTCCGAACGGGGTTAGCAAGACACGTCGGAATCGCACAGTACGTCGAAACTGATTTGTATTCAGGAAAAGGTACTGCCTAATAAGTGATTGTTGCAATGACGATCGAACGGAAATAAAGCTGCGTAAACGCAATTTAATACGGTACCAATACCGGTGTTCAGACAGGCTCTTTAATTTCGGCATTCCGAGGTTGAAACAAGGTATGCCTCCTAAATTCACAATATCCCGTCCATGCAGCTACTCGAACGTGGCATAATAACATCAGCTGCTACAACTTCAATAGAATGCCGCAACGTCCTTGCGGTGTGCGCCCACCCGTCTCCGCCCGCTACCCCCCCGACAAACCCCCGAGCGACGAACTTGAGTTTGCCAAATTGGGTTCTCGACTTACAATCAACCGCATTCCGCAAACGTGTAACACGTCCGCCTGCGCGCACAATTCCGTGAGCCCGTCGAGCGCTTCCAAGTAGTATAAAGACATCGGCGTCAGCCGCTCGAGACTTCGAGAGTTACCTGATCGGACGACTGTCCCCTTCTCCATCGTGGCAGAACGGAATATCCAATTTTCCGACTGCTACTCATAACTTCTCACGCGACACACTTTTCGCGTCCCGAGACGAGAGTCTCGTCGATTTAAAAAATCAAATCTAAAATTGTTACGTAAACTAGAGAATTTCTACGGTACGCGGTCGGGACCCGTGTACTTCTTACTGCAAAGCTAACAACGACGGAAACAAAGTTGAGGGTGCTCGGCTGCGGTTAAGAAAGTATCAAAGAGCAGTTTACAAATAAATTCGCGACAACACAACAACGCGGACACTTTCGTCGCGCGGAGAAGTTCTCCCCTAAAGCAAACTACGGCCGAGATTCGTTTCGTGACCGCGAACGGTGTGCACACGGCGGACGCGCGCCGGCTGCATGTAAAAATAAAATTTCAATCTCGGTCGGAGGAAGTTTGGAGAGCCAAGGAAGACGTGGGTACGCGCGCGCGGTCAACAGGAAACGGAGAGATTGATTCCGCGAGTCAAAGGCGGCCGACGAAGTTAGTTACCGGTAAATGAGCTGTCGCTTAAAAATTCAATTTTCCTTATGACGCTCCTAAGAAAGTTTCGGATAGAATTTCCGGGAAGGTATCCGTTGATCGGGCACTACTGCTCCATCTCCGTCCGCCGCCGCCGCCGCCGCCGCCGTCCCTTCGTATCCGGCCAAGGATAACCCGGGATAAAAGCTCCTTGAGAGCAGGAGACGTCGGCGGGGACAAATTTGTTCTACTAATTCGACCGATGTTTATTCGCCCTAAGTTAATAGCTCGACGGGGAAACGGAATAACGTGTTAATTAGAGACCGTGGGTAATTGAATTTGAAGTTTTCCGTCAGCATTGCACCTCCTCGTCCCACGTGTAGGCACCTGGTACGTCCACGTTGCGCGTACAATCGCCATGCTCGTATCGAACGAGTGCGAAATAAATTGAACGGAACGGTTCGAGGTCTTCGCCGCTGTCTAAATCTCATTACGTTAGAGGGAGAAATATTTTCCTATGAACTCTTTCGTGTCCGACCGAATCGTGGAAGCTGTCGGCGTTTTAATTCGCCAGATAAAATTTTATTACGCGCTGCTAATTTTTGTAAAGATGTTAATTAATACGCGGTTATTATATTTATAAGATGACCCGTTTTTAGACACTGTTTAATTTTATAAATTCCTGGAAAAGTTTCGCAGGATATAATTACGTGCGAAACTTTTAATTAAAGCACGCGTGCTCGATTACGCGACCTATAGAAATTCGGTATTTAATGCACGGCCTTATTAAACCGCTGAATACAACGTTATGTTATCAAAGTGCTCTAGATAGATAATAAACGATCGTCGGCGAACCTCATTTTATGCGAATAATTAAGATTTCCCATATTTTACTAATATTTCCGCGACCTGTTATTCGACGACTCGTTTCCCCCCCGGGACGTTGTTCGCGAAGAGATCGTTGCGAGATTATATCGAAGCAGCATGAAAAGTGCATCTGTGTCGACACGACGACACGGACGCGGCGTCTCGTTACCGTGCGACAATTTTTCCCGGTTATTTCCTTATGTATGGTAATCACTAGCGAGCGTTTCCGCTCTTCAACTTATTCGACGCGTTACAAAGGATCGCTCGAGCGATTGATATTCAAACAGCGATACTTAAACCCATTCACGTCGTTTGACGCGACGCGACGCATCGACACCGCTGCCGTGCAGCCTGCGGAATTATGAATCCTTGTAAAACGTCGATAACGGCGGAGCATCGCGTTCGAATTATTGGCAGTTCGGCTTTTCACGACGTCTTAAAAACTGACAGGACGGGCATATTCTCTGAAATACGTCGGTACACAGTTCAAAGTAAGAATGGAGACGTTACTCGAGCTGACTCGCAATTACGCGGTGTCGATCGCGCGTACGATTAATCGTCGAATCGGGGACATTAATTTTGATTGAAAACAACTCGGATAAATTGTTTCGTAGAATCGACCGACGCGTCGGAACGGAAGTCTTGGAACGTAAGAGCGTAGCGCGAGACCTCGGTTACGATTTCGTTGCGACGAAATTATTGGCAGGCTGCCTGGGTTCAAGAATCCTCGCCGATCGCAACTCCCTTTATTCATGAGTCCATTCATCGTATGGAAATCAACTAGAACGCGATAGCAGTTAAGGACACTCGAGAATGCCCGGGGGCTGAAGGGATAGAACTCTGTCTTTCCATAATTGCGAAAGCACTCGGGGGCTTCTTATCTGTCGGTCGTTTCCTTAGCGCGAGCTTCTACCCGGCGATGCTGCGAATACCACGGATAACTGCGGGCCCCCTCGCTCCCACCGTGGCGTAAAAAGCCTCGCGTGCGAGAACCACTTCCGATCGAAAAATTCTTTGGGAACACGAAAGCCCGTGAACAAGACGTTCCTGCGGCAGGAACTACCCCCGTCCCGACCACACCGACCCGAGTAAACGTTAATACGCCCCAGAAATTGCGATCAGCTTTGTTGCGTTCGCGTTGCAATAACCCTGTGCGTATCACGCCAAGTTAATCTTGTTTGCCCGTCGAATGCCGAACGAACACGAAGCCGGAGGCTTACCTTCGTGCACGCTCAGATTGCCAATGTCAATTTTCAACTGCCACTAATTTCGGAATTTCATCGAAAATAAACATATTCACGCTAATTACGTTACGAGTGATCAGAGGAATCTATTGTAAAATTGTGACATGCGCAATCCTCCGAACAATGCGTTCGATGTATAATTATTATCATTATTCCAAGTAAAATTGATTTGACGTGTTCCTAAATTATCTGAATTGATTTCATTTTTAACGTAAACTTACCGGTGTGATGTAAAAGAAACGTGACCAAGTGCAGCGCAAAGCAGAGCCACCTTCCACGTCTGTTCTTCATCCTGTCTTCCCGGTGTTTGTCTTCCGGACACAGGTTCGCGAAGAAGAGCCCCGAACGCAAACACACCTCGATCTCCTTATCAGTTACTCGCAGAGATCAGCCGCGGTAACGGTGGAATCGCGATCGAGATACACCCACATCACTGTCACGCCGTTGCCCGTAGCTTATCGTCGACTTGTATGCAAATCACTGCTGTCCAACGTCATAACTGATCGCGATTTCGGCTCTCGATCAACAGCGGCACGGCGCCGGTCGTCGAACAGGTTATTACACTGAAATATTTACACGACGCGACGCGGTTCACCGTTGTCGTCTTCTACGGTTCCCGCGTAACAGTGTCAGTCGATATAAGTGTTTTACGAAGTTATCCGACGGTTTTCCCCTTTGGATGGATTCAACGCGAGAGGAAGAATTGTATTATTCATCAGACACGCGACTCGCTACGGGTCAGGATTTACAATCGCGCATTATCGATTCGTCGAATCCATTTGTACGGTTTTACCGTACCGGCAACCGTAATTTCGATCCCCCGGAGTTTTAATATCGCCGAGGGAAATCGGTCTCCCGGGGATTAAGCTCTTTCGCGCGCGGCTCCAGCCACGTGTTTCCACTATATTCTCCGGCGATCGGTATTCGCTTTGGTCATAATTCGAAACTGCTCGGCTCGGCTCGTCTGCGTTTCCTCGAGAAATTGGCCGGCTCGTTGCTTCCCGAGAAACCGGGTCACTCGGTTTCCGAGTTATATAGCGGGAAATCGACGATCGCTGCTTCCACCGCTCACTGGGAAACCTCTGAACGTTGTTGCAGCTGTTTAGAGAGCGAAGAAACGCGTTACCGAACCGGCGAGTTCGTATATATATTTATTTTCCTTTTTCCTTCTCCGCTGGTACACTTCCTTTTTTTCCCTATCTGCCCCTGAGGCGCGCTCACACGCTGCCGAGAATTAAAACGTACAAATGGGCTCTTCCTGTCCGTCCGTTTAATTCGAGCAGCGAGGAAAATCGTGCTGTTCGCTCGCGTGCATTACACGGCTCGACCGCGATCCATTAAGCGTGCGTCATAGAGCGCATTAATCACCTGTTAATTCACGGATCTACTCGTCATGTTCCATCGGTCCGAAATTCTGATCGCCACTTTCTTATGCTGATACCTGTAACAAACGATTAAACCGTCTTATCAGTTTTACAGTGTCATCGATTCGTAACTCATATTTTATACCGAAAAAATTCTTGAAAATTGTTTTATAAGACGCGTCGAGTCGATTATCGCTCAGGTGTAATCACTTCGCTAGAGTACTAAATTCAGTTAAGCCAACTTATGTCCCGAAATCATTCTCGATCGGACAGTTTTGCGAAATTAGGAATGAAAGTCGCCTAGTCCTTCGCGCCGCTCATGTGACAGTTTTATCGGTTATTTTTAACAGGATGGCAAAGATTTCCGATAACTGGTTCACTGGTCAAACTTTACGCCTATCAATTTTCCTTGTAACGGCCACCGGGACGGCTACCGGCGTGCATCGAAATTTACCCACTAAATCGAGAGCGCAATTCAGGCACACCCCCCACAGAGAGAACTGTTGGCTTTTCGACGCCGCCATCCAAATATTAAAAGTTATTCAAAGTAATATCCGACCGGAATTTTAACAAACACACGTTACGCGAGCATCGTTCAAAATCAATAGTAAATAACGTGAAAAAGATTGTTAGAAGCTGAACTATAAATTCTGAATATAGGCATGTTACAACGTTGCGTCGAATTCGTATGCATTGGGTATCAATAAATTCAACGACTCGGTTTAACGTGAGTTTAATTATGCACATGATTTGCCATGAGCACTGCGCAATTATTGATAACATTTAATTGGTTTTATTTAAAGCACGCGATGACTCGTGTAACTTCGTTTTCTATTAATAAATCCGTAAGTATCTCGTATTACGATTTTCTTTCACCGTTCATTTGGAATGATTAAAAATTGTATAGAAACAGAATTACCGTGACTGCAGATATTTTGCACTTATAAAATTCATCCAAGGACGCTAGATTATTGTTTTTAAAAAACGAGATAAATTCCTACTTATATTGGATTTCCAGACATTTCAATTTATAATCCTATCGTTAATAATAAGACGAAATACGGAAATGCTGAATTCTACCGTTGGAAACGAGGTCGGTGCAAACGTATTCGCTCAACGTAGTTCCGTAGACAAATTCATCGTCGTGGAACGTGGAACACGACGATTGGTACATAGGTCGACGGAGGGACGTTTAAACGAATCTCGATGGCTGATATACAAATCCCACGGCAGTTAAAGCGTCTTAAGCTTCTTGTACGTGTTCGCCCGATTCCGTGGGAACGAGATGTAATTGGGTCTTTCTATCTCCGTCGAGTCACGATGTCACATAGCAGGTGCATCGAAGTCTTCGGGATTAAAGTAACACGGGTGTTACGGTAAAAACATTCCAACACGGAAGAGGAAGGATCGCTAAAGACACGTGAACGCCGAAATTGACTCGAGTTTATCGTTCCAAGAGTCGATCGATTATAACAATAAAAGAAAGGAAGGACTGATCTAATAAACGCCGGGAGCCACGCATGGTGTTCGAGATTGACCTATGATCTAACACGGGATTTCAGGAATGAAATTCGTCCTGCATCCGGCGAGGTAATTGCAACGTTGTCGCAGCAAAGTTTCGCGGATACATGGGAACGCGTTGTTATGACAAAAATCGATTCGAACCAACACTGTTGACCGTACCTGACGCGTTACTCGAAATGCTGACGGAATGATATTTGCCAGGGTTTATCTACTCGAATTCGAGAGAGCTTTCGTGTTTTCAAATAGTCGGAGAGAAACAGGAAATGTCTATAGAAACGTCAGTCGCATAAGAGATTATCTAAGGGAACATGAAGTAAATGCGATTTCATTAAAGATTTGCAGAAATAGTTACCCAGAAATTGCCAATCGATTCTGGACTTCAAGAATGTCGAGAAAAGTTGATTCTCTAATTTAGAATAAAATATGTAGTTATTAATAATTATAGCTGCAATCTGGCATATTAACCGGAGTTGTTTACGAACTGCTTTATTCTCGGATATAATTTTGTCGAGACTGCAAATATTTCGCAATGCATGAAAAGGTAATTTAATTAGCAGAAGCAAAAGAGTGGTACATGAATTCTCATCCACATAAAATGACAACAATGATACACAGTCCACAAACATAATTAAATTTGCTGCAGAAAATGGAAAAGTATATTTTCAATCTTCAAGCAAAAATGGAGGAAATGTTAAGGAAATTTTAATTCAATTAGAAAATATATAGTTCGCCTAGGGACGTCAAATAATTTCTTAACGAATGCGCAACTCAGCGTAAATAACGATAATTAAAATTACTATTAAAGGAAGTTCGTAGGAGCGAGATAAAAGGCATCCATTTATATTCCTCGCAGTTTTTCTTATCATTAATGTTCTGAAAGACCCCGTGCAGTTTGTTATAAAACTTCTTATTTATAGACTCGTTGAAACTGTTACGTATTAAGAGTGGCTCGTCTCTGCCCTCTCAAATACTACAATTCGAAGTACATCGTTAATTTTTATGTCAAACATCCTCAATTACTCTCTACGATTGCGATCAATACAGACGCTTATGTAATTAGAATTTTTTTTCTAAATGTAGGTAGAAACTGTGATTCAGTATTAACGAAAATATTATGTTGCTGACGATAAATTAAAAGGGAGGGTATACGCGGAAATGGAGAATCGGAGTCGATAGGAAACTTGTTCGGAGGGTGTTTCGGGGAAAATGGGCTTTCATCGACGTACTAATTCGACGGTTACGCCACAGTTTTCTGCCAACCCAGCGATTCCTGAAATCAGTTTTATCAGTTTCAGAGTTCCCTCAACGCGTATATACGGTTGGCTTTTTGGTGTCACGGAACAAAAGCGTTCAACTTTTCCGTGGCAGCTGTACAGACCCAGAAATAACACAGCTTTCGAACAAATAGTGACTTTGTTGAATATCACGATCGACTCGAATATGTTTTAATCTTATGAGATACGCGATTTTTTTTAACTATCTAAAATTTTTATTTTTAAATCGTTTCCGGCCGGTCGTAACGCGGACCGACACGGAGAGCTGCGTCGTTAGCTCCGAGCGTGTGCAACAGTTTGGATACGGCAGGAGTGCACTTTCGTTATTTTGAAAAGAATCGCTCGGGAAAGAATGCGGGATGCACGAGTAGTCGCGATGTTCTCTAAGAACAAAGTAACTAAGACGGGCACAAGGGCCGCGTTTGCCGTGCAAAGCTTCGTTTTCCAGAACAACGAGACTGATGCTTCATTAATTTTTTTTCACATACACGGGACGCGCGTAAGGAAATCCGTAGAGAAACGTGCAAAATGGAATTATTAAATCCACTCTTCGTCGCACATGTTTTACTTTACGCGAAACGGACATTTTGATGTTTAATCGCAACTTTGTAGATGCATTTATCATTGCTAATGAACAGCGGACCCTTTCATTTTTGAAATGAGAAATTAATTTTCTTAGAATAATCGCTTTTACCTGGAGTACACTTCATCCGTGCAGCTGAATCATCAATTCGAAAAAAACTACAGGATTTAATGTCGCGTGAAATAATATATCTCACGGTAGAAAAACAGCTCTCTTGTTAAAAACGCATTACTTCCAGTTCCACGAAAATCAAATTTCGTGTATTGAATAAAATGTAGTTTCGGTTGGAAATGTTTTATAATGGGAAATTTTATACATGAAAAGTCACAGAGTTGAAAGATTTCGAGAACACGTTCTCAAGTGCATTTTATTCTGAAAATCGTGCATCCAGATGAATTCGATTGTTTCAACTCTTGAACTCGGTTATTAAGCGAGTTACTATTTTAATCCGTACCGAAGTACGTCTTCGGTTTTCTCCGCGTGAAAATGCATACGATCTGAAAACTCCGATACTTTGGAATACGAGCTATTCTCGCGGGTACTGCATTAACGCGGAATTTCGTATTATGAACCGTGACGCGGGCGGGGAAGAAACTCGAACGCGCGATAAAACGTGGAAACTTTCGCGCCGGTGCATTTTGGAACGAGGGAAAAAAATGTCCGTTAATCAACATTACATCCAAGTGCGAATTCCGTGGGATAACATCGATTTGACTTTCATCGGGGAATTATGGCTATTCGAAATCGGTCGTTTGGAAAAAATTTCATCGGGACGATCGGTGCCGCGCTTTCAGTCCGCGCGGAATTTATAGCAACGAGTAGCTTTAATGAAATAATTCACGTGGCGGTTCATTCGTCCTCGCAAACCGAGAATCGTGTAAAGCGGTTTAAAAATACCGAGACGTGTACAGTTTACGTTGCCTGGTGCGTCTATAAATTCAATCCACTTTGTAGTTTAAACAAGAGAGGAAAACGATTTATACAAGACCCTTCGTTAGGAATTTTCATTTCGATCATCAAATTACGGTAGAAACACGAAATTTCCAAGGAACTTGCAGAGGAATGTTCAAATGATCTCGCGGCATTCAAGCAAGTGCAAGCGCTCGAAGAATACTACCGAAACAGTGACGAAACGAGTGCGAGAGGAATGGTTCTGGTCGAACAGTGACACTGACTCACGATCACATTATCGTCGCACTGTGTTAAATCCCAGTAGCCTATCTTTCACTTCGCACTTAAATCGAACGGACACCGACACGTCGTCGGATGGTGGAAAAAGGTAGAAGCCATGCACGGTCGTTAACTGATTGCGACGAAGGATGCAGAATAGTCCATTCACTCGCATCGTGAAAAGTACGTCGCGTCACTGGTTGCACTGTGCATCACACGGTCCCATCTAATCTGACAAGCTCAAAAAGGGGAACGCCTGTTACAGGAGATTGGTCTGTCGTGCCGTGTAACTGCTTCATTTTCCGACGAATTCCTAAGAGATTTTCTACAGAAAATTTCGTCGCCGGTTTAAAACCTGAACGGGGGGTTGAAGAGTCCTGCCGACCCTGTCGATCGTCCCCTCCATTTTTCCATTCCCATCCACCGTTAATTAAATAGTTACTATCCGACCGAATTGCTTCTTTTTCTCTTTCGATTATTCTGTCTTACTCGTGACCCCCCCCCCCCAATTATAACTTTAGTTGAAGTTCAATCCGAGCAGACTTTTTACACGGATGAGCGTATGGTCACTTTTATCTACCCATTAAATAATTGCCTTCGTTTGTTTTTACGTCTCGCTGGTTGCTTTGAATCCTCGTTTCAGACTAATTACAACTATAGCGTACGGCAGTATTCTCGTAATAATGTTTTTATTACCTCCTCTGCTGAATATCCCGGGCAATGTAATTTTCCATCCAACGCTGTTTCCTTCTGCCGTTTTTCTTACGCGAGCTACTCGCGTTAATTATTAAATTTTCCGCGAGAGTAACAAGGCGCCAATTAAATTGTTATTGTGACCAGTTAATTGATCAATTTAAACGGTTCGCGAACTACGCAAAACTAATTTCGATCATAAATATTACTCAAAGTACAGTGTACGTACATATGTATATGTATGTGTGTACGTGTCTTTCATTGTTGAACGTTCGGTAAAAAATAGTCCAATTAGGGCGATAATAACGAGCCAATTATGCGGAAACGAGGAAAATTTCATCCCTTCATTTACGACTGTTTCAATCCTGCGAAAATTACGTAAGTCTCGTTCGAACCGTTCCTTCGTGAATTGAAAGAAATTTTCCATCGACTCGCAATGACATTCTCATCGAGAGAATGGAAAAAATTCGTTTTCCGTCTAGGAAAAGAAACAATTTCCTGTTTCATTCGATGACGGGATAAAAAATTTGCATCGCTTCTATTTGTCAAATTTCTCTTTTGTTCACTGCTATTTCAAATATTTAAATTTTTTCTATGCAACGTATAAAATACCTACGCGAACGGTGAAACGCATACACTCGTACGAACGATGAGAACTGGTGAAATATAAAAAACGAAATAGTGTTTATACTACTATTTGTGTAGACTTACAACCGTGCAATTTGTTTAAGCCGTTGTCAAACTGCTACTGTTCTCACAATTTCCTAAACTTCCAAATATTTACAGTCATTTTACTGTTATGTATAAAACTTATCCGTTAGTCTCGTCGCGACATTCGAAATATTTCTACGGAGCGTACCGTAAATTCCGTCGACGAATTTCCATGATCCTTATGCAAACAAGTTTAAAATATTTAATTGCTGAATGAAATAAGTCATAAACGCGAACAGACTGATACTTCTTCATGCAAATAAGCATGCTTGTTAAAGAAACAGTTCCGCGAGCGGTTGTTAAAAAATAAGTCCGGAATTAAAACATGCGATGATATTAGAATTCTGAAGAGGCATATTGTAGAATTTCTTCTTACTAGAATTCCTCCAGGAAAATTGAACTTCTACATACGGTAAAATCAGGATGAAAGTAGGTGAACACTTAACCCTATCCGTCGTCGCAATGCGATCCGGATTACACTTAATCCACGTCGTATTAATCCTTCCTCACTCACTTAAACTGAACGGTACAGGCAGTTCTAACTGTTCTAAGAACTCGAATTGGAAATCAATTTGATGGAACGCAGAGCCTCAGAACGCACGTAAGCCAGCGGGAAGACTGAATCTGTAGCGCACCGCAGATCCAGTGCGAGTCCGTACCGCAAATAAATTTGTCAGATCGAGCGCGGCTCGAAATTCGCTCGCCACCCCGAACCCCTTGTTAAGTAGGTATCCCCGGCCCCGGGACGAGAGCCAGTGCGCGAAGCTTGGCGACTCGCAACAAAACCGGAACATCGACGAAGCCTAATTGCTGGCTGGCAAGCACAGTTACGCACCCCCCTTGCACGTGCAAAACGCTCGGGGCACGTTCGAAAGCAATGCGTCTATCTCGATGAGTGCCTAATTACCCGCGCTTCTTTGTAACTTCCAAATTCACCGTGTGGCGGTGGCCGAGCTTCGACGACGATCGACGCGCGAATCCTTTCCTCTCACGGTATAAAATCATACAATTAATCACCGTTTCGTTTTGCAGATGATCACGACGATTAGAGATGAACGCGTACTACCGATGCCTCCTTCCCCTGTCGCGACACCGCGTTCGATGTTATCCACGCGCAGCGGCTTGTCCGCGACTGAGAGAGCTTGCAGGTCAACCCCATCCGTGTTTCCCGGGTTGGCCGCCACGGCGCTGCCACCTTTACTCGACGTCCACCCCCGTTTCTTGCCCCAGGTTTTCCCCCTACGACCGCGATCTCCCCGCCTCTGCGCTGTCTTCCACCGATCCGTCAGTCCATTGCTCCATGACAAAAACAACCCTCTCTGCCTCCTCCTCCTCCTCCTCCTCCTCCCTCTCCTCCCTCTCACTCTCTTTGTATTCCTCTTGCTTGGACTCTTAGGTGTTGGTCAGACGACCGGTGCCTCGTCTCTGTACTCAACGGAAACGTTTGCAGCTGTTCGAATCTATGTAATTATTCTAGTGTTTATGTTCCAGATCTAACATCGTCGCAATTTATTAATGCTCTCGCAGGAAATGTAAGCCGTCGAGTAATTTTACTCCATTCTTCATATCTGTTATCATTAGATAATGGAGATGAACGTGAAGTATACAAATTCATATTAGATTTCATTTGTGAAATGAATACTTTACAAGTTTTATAAAATATCCGCAGTCGAATAATGAGGAATGTTCCTGAATGTACATCCCTCAAGGCGACGCGGCTTCGTTGCGCAAGAATCCTGTTATTCTTGAATATCGTTGACAGATCTCACGATTTATTTACGGTATTTCCTTTTTAGCTAAATGCCTACAAGAACCGAGTCGGACATTAATCGCATTGTTGCATTAGTCTAGCGTTTTCGACTTGGGAACCGTGTGCAACGAGCATGCCACGACACGGTAGGCCGCGCCTTTGTTCGTTTTTGAGAGAACGCCAAGAACAGTGAATTTGACGTTAATTAGATTGTTACGTCGCGCCCGTTCCTTCACTGTTGCTGAAATTTTTTATTCCTCGGTCTCGTTGCCGCCCCCTCCCTCTTTTTCTTACAGAAACGCGCGATATCCGTTCTACGAGCAACTCGTGTAATACGAAATTGTGATCATTTTGTTAAACTGTATATTTAAATCATTTTCCTGATATTGCATTTGATAATAATTCAAAGCGAAAGAAGCATCCTTCACCGATAGTCAAGTGGTTTAATAAAATGGAAACTTGATTGGATACCTGAGCCACTACTTGTTGATGATATTTTATGAAACGCATTCGACTACTAGCATGCAAGTTATAAAACTCATCAAATAGATGGAGGCGAATATATGTATTGGCTGGGTGCTTTCCACATGCGGTGACGTTTGTAAAGTTTCCTGACCAATATCAATGCCCACTAAACTAAGCTGAAAGAAAGTTTATAAACACCGTGGGCCAGGTGTGTATACGAGTTTACAGGGAGTCCAACTTATTCGTGGACCAGATAGCAAGCCGAGAGCTTCGGGTCTATCGGCCTCTTCTGTTCCGAGTATACCCTCGAGTTAGATGGATTTAAAGATAAGTTGAAAACGAGAAATCTCCAGGAACGGTGACTGTATCGAACTACTCGTGTCAGTAAATAATCGATACGCTGTAATCGGTTTTTATTCATTTCACTTGGAAACATAGTTTGCAGTAGGCAAACGTATGTAACATGATCTAATACGAGGGTCAGAACGCGTCCGCACCTAAATGGTTCTCAGGCTGGCCACGGCGAAATTTGATAGGTATGTTATGCGTTAAAATGATATTCCCCGCAGTAGAAAATTTGAATATAGAATAGCAATGGAGAATTTAGTAAGATACCGTAGCCAGCAGATCGAACAGGAACAATGTTCGAAAGGAGCACCTTCGCAGAATATTTTTTTCTCGATATCGAACCACATACATAATGCATTGGTTGAAAATATTACATAAACCGTTACCCCGATATAAGAGAATGAATGTTTTCCTGACATAATCGAATAAGAACTAATTATTTGTAATATTGCCAATTGAACTCACTGTCAGATCTGTATGAGACTTCAAAATTGTAATTATTTAAACATTCAGGAATACATGTGTCAATCAATCATATGTGATTATGCGATGGGTCAATATTCTATATTTATTGCCAGTTACTCTGTTTTTATTAGAAGAATTGACTGCTCGCAGGTACATATCGACGTCCTAGTAAAAGCAATGTTCCGATGAAACGTCAACTGTACGCCAAATCTCCCATACTATCCAAAACTCCTTTCTTAACGCTTTTCTTCGTTTTACTTTCCTCCCCCTTTTTGTTCCACCTCTCCGTTGCTCGGTCCACCTTTCCCTCTGACCCACCTTCCTGTCACTCCTCTCCTGTTTCTCCTTTTCTTTTTTTTCCCTTCCAGTTTCTCTTCTTTCATTCCAACCGCCCTAGATCATTTTCTTTCCTTTGTCTTTATTCATGTTCGTTTCTTTTTCTGATCCGCGCGCGCCTCCGCTTGATGGCCAAGTCTCCGCCACTTCCTCCCTCGCGCTACAAACCCTTTGTCATTCCTTTTTCTACTTCATGTTGCTCCGCTTCCTTTTGTACTTCACTTTTCCTTTCGACCCTTTCCTATCCTTTCTTCCCTCCTCGAACCTCCTTCCGTTGTTACCGCTTCCTCTCCCAGCTTTTTTCTCTTTCCCTTTGCCCCATATTATTTTCCTTCGCTTCTGGTTTATTTCATTTTCCCCTCTTTTTACGTTATTAAGTAGCTTCCACTTCCCGCCTTCCGTACATGAGAATGCCAGACACTTTTCGGCGACACAAAAGAAACATAATGAATTTTTGGTATTTCATAGAATCTTAGTTTCCCAGGAAACGTGTTTGGAAAGTGGGACATGCTCCACGACTGACAATACAATTTTCTCATTGTCATTACGTACGAGCTCCTATTCTTACATCGTTACACGAACGTTTTATTAGTTGACGAACAGATGAAAGCAATATTTCTCCCAATAGAAAAAGCATTGATGGAAGAATAAAGAAAATATCTATGCGAACAGGAATATGATTCGCATGAATATGGTTCGAAGTGGCACATGTCAAATTCAATTGACGTATGTAGACTACGAATTCAAGTACGTATGGTTTCCTGACACGTATCTACAACCCTGTTATGACGTCTTTCCCGTTCTCGTTCTCCGTCCTCGAAAATAACGTCTGAAAATGGCGAAATGCGTGCTCCTCGATTAAGCGAACGTAAAAGTTGAAGGCGCATTTACGTGGACAGTGATTTAAGGAGAATTCAAATGTCCCTCGAGATGACTCACAACTTCAAAGAATGGAGATACCTATTAATACAAATCGTTTCCCTCGAAACTCTAAATTCTCAGTGCTGCGTATATTTAACTCTCGACTAGGATATTAATCGCTCTCGAGCACGTCTGTCCACAGTTTCTCTCACAAGGAAACTGAACTAAATTTTCCTACACGTAATTCAGGTTAGTAAGCATGCGTGTAATAGTGACATTAAACTTTCAAACTTCGAGCGTTAAATTATAAACGACGAAGAAAGTAAGAAACTTGACTTCACTGCCGGCTTCAACGACAACGATTAATAAATGTCAGTGCGACAACGCAGTGTCCAACTATGAGCTAAATACATACAGTAAATCCGGAATTTCAAGTTTCACGTCTACATCAGACGAATCACTAAGAAGTATACAACAACACGTTATGCAACGATTTTATCAAAACATGTTTTGCACGAATTCATTATACGATCCAATTCATTAAATTTTGACAAATTGAAATGCGTTTTTCGTTGGATATTTAATGAGACGAATAATCAGTGGATAATACTTCCTATTCACTCTCCGTGTATTCGTCATTCGCCAGGCGAGGGATAAGACGAGAACGGAACAATTCCGTTCTTTAACCGCGGGACGCATAGTGCACTCTTCTTTTCAACTTCTTACTACTAAGTTG